GCGATGTTTTTTTTTTTTTTTTTTGTGTTGTTTATGGTAATTATCATGGTTTGCCTTGCAGAAGCTACTGATTGAACAGCAGTCTGTGCGACTTGTTCTGAACCGTGGCTTCCTTTGCAACTTGGAATGCCGAGCATTAACCTCATATGAAGCCCGGTAACGTGTAAACCCTAGTCCCTGTACGCTCCAGAAACCCTAAAGGTCCTCCCCTTCAGCTGAAGTATGTTGGGCTAAGTCGCTGAGATCGCGGGCTTAGGCTTGAGTCCAGGCTCTGCCGTGCTCCTCTTGGGTGTTCAAACCAGCCCCTTAGATCCTGTTGCTGAGAGAGATTTCAGCAGGTCGGATGGTTGCTGAAACACCCGGGTCCAGCAGCAGGTCATGGATATCAATTTGGGGGGCGACCAGCCTACCCAGGCACGCAGCAACGTGAACGCCCCCGATCCTGAAACCTGGACTGGAGAGGTTTTGAGTATGCCACGTGCGTTGTGAGTAGCCTTAGTTTCTGAAAGCACCCGCGTTCGACACGAATTCGAACCCAAGAGTCAAAGGGGGCAGGTTCGCCCTCGGCCCTGGGGCAAGCCTGTTCGGACCTTCACTGCCGGGTTGCATCGAAGACAGCTCCCGGTGGAAGAGTTCAGAAGCCTGTATCCAATGTGCTAGCCTTTTGGAAAGATTCGGCCTAGAGATGGATTTTTTCAATGGACAGGGTTAACATCATGTCAAGGGGTTGCATGCAAAGCTCGGGAGAGGTGACTGCTGTTAAGTTCGCGACCTGCACAGTATCCTGGCAAGCATCCTGAACATGTTGCTCTATTTCGTGGCAAGCTTGGGGGCACCCAGCTCCGGGGTAGTAGTTCAAAGCTAAGAAACTGAAGCCACAATAGGAAAGTGGGATGCCTCAAATCATATTCCCATGGATGACTGCTCGGATTGCAGCCACACTTTGCTAGAAGAGCCCATCGCCGCGACTGCTCCCCACTCGAAGCCGGATTCAACTGAAGCTCGGGGCAATCTGATCCTTTCGGCCAGCGGCTTTGATCGCTTGGGCTCACTACTGTACATAGCTCCCACCCATGGAGGACCTTACAGGGCCCCAGGGCCCTAGGGATCCCTAACTTGGCTCACAATTCGTTGGTATGTGTTCGTATCCATCCGCTCCGGGCAGACCAGCATCAAGATCCTGGTTCACCCGGAATGGGTGGTGCTCTCAGGTGAGACCACGAACCCGAAGCTAGCCCTGAACCCAATCGAAACCCTAAACCCTAAACCCTAAACCCTAAACCCTAAAATCCCCTTAAACCGAAACTTCAGATCAACACCGGAAGCTTCAGGGTTCCGGGGGCCCTGTCTTCCCAAAGGCGAGCACCAACGGTAAGCGGCCGTAGCGACACGCACAGGAACAACAGTAGTTTCAACAACAATGGTGATGAGCATGATGATGAGGATGGTGATGAAGAAGAAGAAGATGATGATGATGGCGGTGATGATGATGATGATGATGATGGTGATTGTGATGTTGATGATGATAGTGGCGGTGATGACGATGGTGGCGACGATGATGATGGTGATGATGATGATGATCATCATCATCATGATGATGATGGTGATGGTGATGGTGATTGTGATGTTGATGATGATGGTGGCAACGATGATGATGGTGATGATGATGATGACCTAACGCCTTCAGCCCAATGCGACTGAGGCACCCAAAGGTGCAGCACAGTTCAAGAAGCCGTGTGCCAAGCCGGATAGCACTTAGAGGTTTCAAGATTCGAGAGCCTTTCAGGCTTCGGGTGGTGCCGGGCATTTGGGTTCCCAGTGGACGGTTTTTGGATTGGGCTTTTTTCGTTACGCTTTGAGGGTTGACTTGAGGTTTGGAGTTTCAGCGCTTTGGGTGGGTGTCGGACACATCGCCAAATATCTTCAAGATTCCAACGCATGGCATAGCCTTCAACGCAGAGGCTGATCGAGCAGGGCTGGTACGACGACGTCCGCGCCTCATACATGCTGAACTGGTGTTTTGGATTCAGGGTCGCTTCCATTCTAACAGCCGCAACCGCAACAACTAGTCATTCGTGCATGACAAACAATACTAAGCAATAGTTGCAATCATAAGCACAATTACTCGGAATGAGATGCACAGGCTGACCTGCAAGACAAGTGCTGGTTTGGCACCGGACACGGGACAGGCATGTCAGGTGTGGGACGATTCATAAGCGACCTTACCAGAACTCAGAGTGTGTGGAGTTCAGGGGTTTAGGGTTTAGCAGCTTCAGGGATTTTCAATTTTAGTTCAACCGGTAGAATTATGATGTGTGAATTGATGCCTCAGTCTGCTTTTGTGCTAGGTTTTGTATGCACACACACACACACGCAAACACTATGTGTGCAAGCGTGTATACACGCGCAGGCAGCTTTCGGCTTGCCGTGTCGTCGCTATCCTGGGCCAACCTAGCCTCAACGACTCAACCCCGAGTGCCTGGCTCCTGAAACCTGCAGCTGGCTGAAGGCCGGGATTTTCCGTGTCGTCCCGGGCTTCGTGGCGCAGCCCGTGGCTAAGAAATGCGCAGAGCCATAAACTCCCCAGACCCAAGCATCCTATACCAGGTTGAAGTCGCCAACGGACAACCTTTAATACGACGCATGCTAGGGTCATGGAGCCTTCGGGGTTTACAGGGTCTCGAGGAGAGCGGCAGAGGCCTCGCCCTTGAGCCTAATCTCCGAATCCTCGGCCCAGCCTTCAACTACGACCTTCGATTTGGCTCCTAAAAGGGGAGCTGGGACCGTACACTTCCGCCTGAGAGGCTTTGCCGCCCATTCCAGATTCCAGAGCCCAACCAAACTTCATGCACAAACGGAGTTTGGGGCCACTGACTACATGCGCAGTTACCAGGTTTGGCCTGCCAGCAAAGCCGCAGAAATTGGCCAACATCCCCGATGATCCGGTGAAGGCTCTCCGGGTGGCTTTGCTGCTTGCTTCACAGCTGGTGGGACAGAGGGACTTGTTTGCTTGCGGAAGCAGAGTTCCTTTGCGCCACGAGCTGCAGGGCTCAAGCCGGACCTTGGGAGACATGTCTTCCCACTTCCGACATGCTACGACTAATATAGGGGCCTTAATAATTACCTATACTATTTTGGTGGGGTTATAGTATGTTATAGTTATGGTATAATATACCCCAAAACTTATTCTAATTATTGAGGCCCCTGCATGAAGCCCAAAAGCCTGTGCTTAAAGATACAACAGCCGGCCGCCACCTCGCCAGGTCAGCAACAAGCGTGGCACGCTTGTGTCGGGAAGCCCACAGAGTCGGCGTTCCCGTTCAGGAAGTCCGTATAGGGTTTAGGGTTTAGGGTATAGTGTTTAGGGTTTAGGGACCATGCTCTTTCTTCCTCTTTCAGTTTTTCAAGCATTGTCACTTTTGATCCGGTTCTAGAAGGATGTATAGGGTGCAATCCAGCGGCCTTCTACCTAGAGCAGGTGTTCGTGTGACATAGGTTGCAAGGCATACCATTGCCAACTACGAAGTCGACACGTTTTGTGCCCTGGAGGAGAGCATGGGCAGGCATGACTTCGCGCAGGCTAAGCCGAAGCACGCCGGAATAGTAATCTCGACTCCGCATATCTGCTTTCCGGGGGCTGAGCCATGTCTACAGGGTTCCGCACCGCCCGAACATGAGCCTCGAAGCACCAACCCGAATCCCGGAGCCTCGGATCATCTCTGAGGTTCGCCACGGCGGGCCCCAACACGCGAACCTCCCAGATGTTCATCAACTACAAGGACAGCATGTGACTTACGACCGGGGCGCTTTGACAACAACCCGTGGCGGCAGATTGCAAACGAATCAGAACCGCAACAAGATTATGCAAGTCCCAGCTTGAAGATGCTGAGACGCAACACCCCCGAGATTTGTGTGAGGCATCACCTGCTCATGGCTAACTTCGCCTCCCAGTCGCCGGTATCCTTTCAGAGCACTCGTTGAACTTATCTTCGACCCGAGCTTTGCTCCTTGTCTCGGATTGCTGAGCTTGGGCGACGGGTTCAGGGATGTCCCCAAGCCTGTCGGGTTTGGGGAACGGAAAGCTTCTAAAGCACCTTGGCCTCTTTCATGCGTAGATCCACAACAACGTCTCCTACCACAGGCAAGCTGACCCCCTTCCCCCAACTTACTCCCCAACCGGACTCAGAACTTCAAGTTCCGGTTTCTGCGGAGACTGAAGTTGCAGGCAAGGATTCCCTATGTTGTGGCCTGTTCGCCCCGAAAGTTGAAGCAATGGATCTGAAACCCTCAGTACAGTAAACCAAGATGAGTGCAATCCTGCACTTGGAAACTGCCTGCAAGTCAGCAGGATAACGCCTTCCTCGACAAGCAAGGCCCAGAATTGCTCTAAAGTGACCCACGCAGAGACGCCGGTTTGGTTTTTGGGGCTTTCCGACCTCTGCTTTTTTCCGTTTTCGCTGAAAGCTTGTTGTTTACCTGGGAAAGGTGTGGGACCAGCAGCTTGGTAATTTCGAGGGGTTGCGGCTCCTCGATTGCTTTCCATGCAGTCTAACTGTGCAAAGGGTGTGGCTCACTGAAGCATCGGTTTTTGCGCTCCTGGTTTTAGCGTTCAACTCCGCGCTGATTGGTTAGTATGTAAATGGCCCTTGTCAGGATTTGCTCCGATCGGAGAAGTGATGGACAACGGCATGGAGGCTGCAGATGACTAAACTCCGCGACTGCATCGCTTGAATCTTGGGGATTCTCGTGGCTTTTGGTAGTCCCCGCCCCTTCCCGGCGCTCCCTGTGGACCCTGCACCTCGAGCCTCCCGAAGGTGGTGGAAAAGTTCTACAAGGGTTATGGCGAGCAGCCGAACCAAGGCCAGGGACGAAGGGGACTGAACAAAGGCCCTTCTGTTTTTTAAATTCATGTTAGAGTTTAGAGTTGGTCCTTGTTTAGGCTTTCTGTTTTGGATCCTCTTGCTAGGAAGAAGATTGAGTTGTTGGCCAGGGCATTCTTCCCATCCCTAGTTGTGCTCTAAACCCTGAATTTGCCTAAACCCCGTTTAGGCGTCCAGGGGTATCGACAGCCATGATCGTATATAACCTCAAAGCATTCGGATACACAACCCTGGGGTTCCGCAGGTACGCAACCCTAAACCCTAAACCCTAAACCCTAAACCCTAAACCCCCCTCAGTCAGATCGGCTGCCAGGGCTCATCTCTAGCAAAGGCAACGCGTACCTCGACACACAGCCCTGGCCTTGGTTTGGGCTTCGTATGGTTTAGGGTTTCGGGTTTAGGGCCTTAGGGTTTAGGGTTTAGGGAGAATGTAGGGTTTAGGGTTTAGGGTAGGGAGAATGTAGGGTTTAGGGTTCGTTTAGGGTTCAGGGTGCAGCCCGAAGCTCGAATCACTCCTGGGGTTCAGGGCTTTTGGGACGAGGTTGAGGTTTTCGGGCTTGGTGGAATGCTTCTTTCGTGTGAAAGGGACGAGGGAGCAGAGCTTCACCGGCACTAAGGTTCCCAAAGCTCACAAAGATCGCAAAGGCCACGATCTCTTCGTAGGCGTAGGTGTAGACAAAGAGGCAGACTGGATGCGAAGAAAACGCATGACTGACACTCGAGCATATCTCCGTTTCCTGCGCCTGGCCTGCCGAGCCGTGCTCAGAAGGGGTGTTTGGTCTTGTCAGGAGACAGCAATTGAGCAGTGCAAACGAAACGGCGGTGACCATGAATAGGTGTCCAGGAATACAAACAGAAGCCTTAGCATACCCTGTGTATTGGGACGACGGACTCTTTCGGAAATATCGGGTAGAAACTTACAACAACTGGGATATGGTTCGCGGTTGTCATATCTATATACCTTTGTCCACCCTTTAACTTCTGAATTTTTACTTGAAGGACTTATTCAGTAGTGTTTCATTACATTTCATTTTTTAAACATGTTTTTATGCACTTATATACATATAGAGTATCGCTTTCGGTTTTGCTTTTAGATTAAGGGTTGGGATTGAATCGTTATGTAGTAGAATTCAATAACATGGTGGGGCGATTAAGAAAGAAATATATCTCGCCATTTATAGCCACGAGAGTCTATTAAATAATATAAGTTTGGTAGATATTTGAAATATGCATAGTATATAGCGCTATATATTTTTGTTATGAGTCTTGGCTAGAGACGAGAAGAATTTTCGAAGATTCTCTAATGAAACGGTGTCGTGTTGCTCGCGTCCATTTTTTGGGCGCGCCCCTGACCTCTATAAGTATCTTTTGGGGCATTTCTTCTTGAAATTTTCTTAAGAAAATTTCCGAAATTTTTATATCGTATGAATTCATATAAATATTATTACGATAATTTTATTTCATCTTATCTCGGGATATATTCTTAATTTCTTATGAATATTAACATATTATTTTATAAAAATAAAAATAATATAGTATCTAATAAGAATAATGCTGAAGAGAAATATTAATTATCTATAATATTCTAAGAATGTTAGGATAAAATTTCTTGAATCTGATTTAATTATAGATAATTGGGGGGGTGGGTCTTATTATTTTATAAGGATTTCATTATATATTTCTATAAAATAAGTCCTGCTCGAAATCTCTTTGCATTTCCCTTTACTACTCTTTATTTCTCTTCACTACCCTCTACTACTTTTTATTATTATTATTGCTTTTTATTACCCATTACTGCTCTTTACCTTCTTTTTTGCTGCCTTTTACTCGAAGTCCAAATTGTATCGGAGGCAATAGGATATAAAAGGAACTGGTGGTGCCCTTTGCTCGAAGTCCAAATTGTAGTGGAAAGGCCAATAGGATATAAAAGGAACTGATGGGTATCGATTAGCCAACTAAAAACTGTTGGTACAACGCATATTTTCGTACGCTTCAGAGAGCCAAGCTGCGGTTATCCTCATCATCCATCCTCTACCATTCCCAAACGAAAATTTCCGTCTCCGACCGCCACCCGCCCCTGAGGAACGACAGAGACAGAATAATCATAATACGAAAATAAACGATACCGATATTAACTCAAATCCCTCATAACTGATATATATTTTAAATATATTGCTTTTGAGCCCATTACTTCCCTTTATTTTTTTTGCTGTCCTTTACTCGAAGCCCAAATTGTATTGGAATGGATAATTAAATAGCTTCCTATCCAACCAAAAACTATTGGTACAACGCATGCTTTCGTACGCTTCAGAGAGCCAAGCTACGATTATCCTCGTCATCCATCCTCTACCACTCCCAAATGAAAATTTCCGTCTCCGACCGCCACCCGCCCCTGAGGAAGGACAGAGACAGAATAATCATAATACGAAAATAAACGAAATCGACATCAATTCATATCCCTCATAACTGATATATATTTTAAATATATTGCTTTTGAGGGATCCTATCGCTTTCCAAGGAAATTAGCAAGATCCGACATTCTACGATCATCCTAGGCTTAACAACTACAATTACGGAAATTCTGACGAATATTCAAATAGAAATTTATAAGAGAGACGACATTCATATTTCCATGATATTAAATGCTACATAGTTTATTTCTAATTATATCTAATGAAGAGAGAAATCGTAAATATATATCATATAATTATATTAAGAAAAATAAGATCCAATTTTTTTCTTTTAATCGAGGGGAGAATTTACAGGGCGGGGTCATTTATTATATTTGAGATCTAATTTAAGGCCTCCTTATTCCGGCGACTCATATTTTTATAAAGATCAATAAATAAAAATTAATATATATGAAATTCAAAATAAAAAAATATATATTATTTATAAATATCTCGAGCTAAGATTATTTAAGAAGATTATTATCTAATAATATAATTTTCCCTGGATAAATTATATATTTTTTTTCGAATTATATAATAATTCGAATTTTCATATTTTATATAAGAAATTAAATAAGAAAATTCATAAAATTCAAATGATATTCTATTATAGAAATAAATTCATCAATATCCTTAATTTTATAACAATAGAATTCAAATTTAATTATTATTAAATTACTAATTAAAATCATTTTTGAATAATAAGTATTTTTGTGATCCAAATTCTATTATATAATCTCTAAAGATATAAGAATAATGATTTCTATTTCATATTCGAAATATATTAATCGATCTATTATAATTTCTAATCCAATTTCTTTTATATATTTCGGATATATCCTAAATACGAATATATTTATATTTAGCAAAAATATTGAAAAATCTAAGGAAATTTCTAGGATGTTCTGATAATCATGAGCCAGTCTCGGATATTCTACTCGATCGTGTCGAATCGATTTATGAGTTCGCTCGATTCCGCTCTTTGCATGGAGAAAAACCAATACTTTCAGAGCAATACGACCTTCAAGAAATTCATCTTGGATAATTTCATTTTCTTATCAATTCTCAATCCCCAAACCAATGGCAAAAGAGCCTGTGTTGTTATAAAGTAATAAAGAAGTCCTATGCTCAGCGATGTATGTGGCTTGTATATACTCTGAAAAAGTAGATTTGCATTGGAGGCACCTCTGGAATCCAGACGACAACAAATTATTCTACGCACCCACCCTATAGCCTTCCGCCACGGACAGCTTAATCGTAACCAGAATTAACCAGACTGAACGTTTAACAGCCAAGCCTGTAACGGCACTCGCGAAGCCCTGGCATTCGAAATTTTACTCTCCGCTGACTTGACCCAATCACTCCACAGTAACTTCATTCCATGTGCTCACCACGCGTGCTGCCCCTCTACCATTTTGAAGCACTGGTTCTTTTATGTGCAGGTTTCCTGCATTGTTCCCCTGCCACTTTCTTCATCAGATGTCACACAACTCATCACCAACGAAGGCAGAACGGTCCTGACGATGCCAGCAGACTTTGATGGCGACTTGTCCCACACCATTAATGCCCCAGAATAAGGCGCCCATGCAGTTACTGTGGCCGGTGCCCGAGGGACGTTGAGCTGGTGATCGTGTCCGAAGGGATTTACACTCTCACAACTCGGACCAGCCAGGCGAGGATCCATAGGTGCGACAGTCGGGGTGATACATTGATGTTGGGGATGTCTCGGGGTTTAGAAGTCCAGAGTGAAAGGCATACCCTCACGGCCAAGCTCTTTGTTCACAGTCGAGATGTTGGACCAAATGCTTCCAATCACTGCTGATGGATGCCGTGCAAAGAACCATTCCCTAACGTAGTTGGCGGGCATCTGAAGCCACAGCTTGCTGTCCCGGTAGCACTGGAACTCATCCTGGGGCAGTTTCACCTCACAGGTGCGCTATATCAAGTCCCCATTGTGAGTCCTTAAGATGCCATACGCCCACCCTTGTGTTTTGTTCCTGTGGTCCTATACCATCCGGGACTTTTTTTTGACTTGGGGGGTCTCGTGTTGAGGGTCCTACTGTGTTGGGGATCTGTCTTGCGTAGCATACTGTCCGAAACTCTCTTGTCCTTAGAACCCAAACCCTGGCCCTCAGACCCCAGATCCTGAAACCCTAAACTGCCTGGAGCCCACGCTCCACAACGACTTTGAGAGACTTGTGCACCAAGATCGCGTCATGCTGCGTCAGACGGAGCCTGGGCCGCCAGGGTTCAGGCTTCGGGTGCATATGTATGATTGATAAATAAATAAATAAATATTTTGGCTCCCACTTGGCACCGTCAGGCGAGCTGACACTGCATAATTAAATAAATAAATAAATAAATAAATATATAATATATATATATATACGTATATATATAAATATATATACATACAGTTTAATACATATACATATACATACACATACATACATACATACATACATACATACATACATATATATATATGTATATATATATATATATATACATACACATACAGAAGGCGTCGCACACAGCAGGCCCAAGTTTTGCAGCTTGCTGTTTTCGCACTATAGGTCCTATAGGCAAGCATTTTGCAAGATTCTTATAGCTGCTTCAAATGCATATATGCGGAAGAACGCGTATACGGACTCAAACAAACCCATGCTGCACGTGAGCTCCTGCGGGAATGAATCTCTGTTGCGCAGATAATGCCTATAGCACCGGAGAGAGCCTATGCCCCACAGCCAACGGGTCTAAGTCCCGCAGGGGAAGAGTCATAAAAACGTGTTTAACACCCCCCCCCCCGCCCCTTTCGCTCCCTGCGCCCCAATCAAGGACGCGAGAGCCAAGCCCTCTGAGCCTGGAGCCAGGCCTACGGACTGAGCCTGTAAGTCTCAGAACGTATCGACATACGTGAGGCCTTCGAGCCTTAAGGCCCAGGAACAAGACCACGGATAAACTCTGGCTCAGGACCGAAGATGAAGATGGATTCCCAAAAACATATAAACCCTAACATTGCATGATAGGCGACAACCCCAGTCAGTCGGAGAAATATGATCCAATCTGTGGCGAGGAAAGGATGGGTGATGATGGGGGCCATGTCTCAGATCTTACGAGGGACTACTCTGTCGCCCCCAAAAACACCACAGAATTTGCACGGTGTGACTCAGAACAGTAGGTAGGTAGGCAAACCGTCATCATTGGGGCTAGGGAGGATGGACTCCAAATAACACAGGCAGCAGCGACAAGACCTCGGCAACCAATGAAATAAGCGGTTCGGAAGACTGGTTCGAAAGAGCTCGTAGGACTGACCATAGGACCAAAATGGAGGAATGGATTGAGAAAAAGCTTTACAAGTAATGACTGATCCGCCAGAAGCCCCAATACTAATGATAAGATGATATGTTGGATCGTGAATTGAACTCAAATACATGAAGGATATGATGAAGCTCTAACAACTCTGGCTCCAGCAACCCCCTATTGGGTAGGTTGGGTGGCAAACCCCAAATGTCAAAGATAATGAAGAGATGATGGGTGACAAATCCGAAACTTATACAGTGAACCCTGAATGTGGTATTCCGGTCCCACCTAATAGGGCATGATGGCTATAAATATACAAATGGACGACAAATATCACAAGCCCAGATGCTGAAGGGAAATAAGACACCCAGATACGCTGAACGGGTGACTTGGTAGCAGAAACCCAAGTCGCCACTGTACAATGGGCTTATGACCTACCATTCGGTATAAGAGTTTGGATAAGCTTAGGGAAGATCGCGTCGTGGCATTTAAGATTTATAACTGGGGCAGTGTGTGTATACATATATATATATATATATATGTGTGTGTGTATGTATTATAAAACCCGAAACCTCAAAGTGAGGCTTCCCTGAAGCAACGTCCCAGACGAGGCGGGCTCAGGTGGTTCTTGAGATGCCGCCCGGAAGCAGAGCATAGCCGAAGGGTCGAAACTTGTGCAGCGCATAGCTCAGGGAGCAACCCTGAAAAGGATTCAACAAGTCGACGTCATAAACATCGTTCCAGTGTGGGGAGAGCCTGTTGTGCCACTGCAAAGAGAAGCGAAAAGGGGGCGGGATGTGCGTTACGATCTCCAAGTGGATCACCTTCGGCCGCAGAACTCTCAGCAGCCCCTCAATGATCAGGCAGTCCACGCCATCCAGGTCGACGACCAGGAAATCCAAGGGCCAAGGCTTTCGCGCCCCCGCAAAGATGAGCTTCAGGTAAGGCAGCAGCTGCTCCACTACTTGGGTCGGATCCAGGGTTAAATGCACCTCGGATTGCCGCCGTCAGGAAAACAGGTTATGCATGCATATGCGCTCTGTATCTACTGAAACATTGATTCTGGATATGTAGTTTGATGATGTATGTGTAGATACACAGATGGACAGACAGACAGACAAACGGACTGACAGATACATATTTATATAGATAGATGAGCAGAAGTTAGACACATAGACAGATAAACAGAGAGATACCTAGCTGGCTAGCTACATAGACAGATAGACGGACAGGTAGGTAGATAAATAGATACTGTAGTAGACAGAAAAATAGATAAACAGATAGACATAAATGTAAACAGATTAGTACCTAGCTGGCTATCTAGATAGACAGGCAGGTTGACAGCTAGCTAGAAGATAAATAGATAATGGATAGATAGACAGATAGACAGATATATAGACAGGTAGGTAGTTCGGTGGATAGACAGACAGGTTGACAGATACACAGACACATAGATAGACAGCTAAATAGGTAGACAGACAAATAGATAGATAGAGAAAACCTCTCCCCCTGTTTTGGTTCTGAATAAGAACCCAGGCGCGGGCAGCACACGCGCTGGGGTATTCGACATGGTGGCCCTGCAAACGTCCAAACGGCTGCTGTTGGAGTCCACGGCGATTCCTTTTTTAGGGTTCTGAAAGGTGCTTTAGCGGGTATATCCTGGTTGTCCAAAGCGCATTCGTTTAGGAATCTACGTGAATTCAACTTATCCAACTACTAGGGATCTATGGTATTATGCGTAACATGTATATACATATACATGCAAGCTTTCCTTTCTAAAGCAGCTTGAACCTTAGCCCCTCAAAGTAACATGCACCCAGGCTCCGACCATGCCGTCGCCTTCAGCCGAGCTAAGGAGTTGGTGCAAAGGGTCCGGTGCCTCACAAGACCGGTCCCTAAACCCTACAGCCCATGAAGGCCGGTAGGATCGTCACCCTAAACTCTAAGCCCCTCTAACCCTTCAGGACGAAACCCCACGTTTGAAAGAACCCAAGGCCGTACAAACCCCCGTGTGCCATGCAAAGCCCCAAAAACCGTAGAATGCTAAAGAACCCTTCAACATCTTCATAGAACCTTATTTGAACCCACTCATCCTCATAAAGCCTTGTAGACAGAACCCTGACGCAACTCCGGGGGCGCCTGGCATGTCCCAGAGCCCAAGTTCAGGAAGGTGCCAGAGGCCGGCGCACGAAAGTAGGACAGGAGGAGGGCCATCTGCCAAAGGACTCCAGAGGAGTCAATGGTTTGTTCCTTACCAAGGCAAGGTCAGCTACGGCTTTAAACTTGCAGAAACGTAGTACTGGCTGTTACTAGCTGCTACTAGCTTATTAAAACAACCCCTGGAAAGTAAACTCAAGTCCCATAATGAAAACCTTCCTGACTTGTAAGAAACCAAAAGCTTGGTATTTTGAGGACGGAAGCTCCATGGAGCCCGAAGGGCAAATCAAGCTTGGGCTCTTGTCCCCGAGCCGGAAGCGAAGGCGCGTGTCCTCAAAGGAAGCCTCTTGGTGCGGGGGTTAGAGTCTGGCATGTAGGGTTTGATGAGGTGTTACACGGGTTTCTAGGGTCCAGGGTGTTGGGCTTGGACCTCATCAATGGCGAAGCCGGGAAAGTTCTCGTGGTACTGCTGCACTTCTTCGGCAGTCATGTGCGGCGTCGCAACAAAGAAAGCATTGTACAGCATGCTGCCATCTGCAGACTGGCCCTGCGAGCAGCAGTGGCTCGAAATGCTGTGGGCAGGCCAGCAGGCACGTACTTGTTGTGCAATCCCTGGGCAGCACCAGGAAGGGTGGCGGTCGTAGGACCAGCAGGACTTAGAAACATTCATCTCATGAACCCCAGGCCCAGATCGCGAGAAATGAAGAAACTCACCTTCGAAAGTCTGAAGGACCTCCTTCTGTGCTCCATGGCGATATGGATCCACTGGCGCAATCTCCGCATAGTTGTGCCACCGGGATCCAAACCAAACCACTCCGAGCGTGCCCCCGGCTCTGCCGCGCAATCTCTCACCGCGGCTGCCATCGCAGAATGGGTCCGCAGTTCTCCTACAGATGGTCGGTCGAAAGCCAGGGAATTAGGCATAAGGCGCTCAAGTATAATGCGCAGAACACGTGCACGAACTTCAGAGGCCCAGCTTCAGACATTGATTCGAGGAGCCCCGGAAGCAGCCGTAGTCCTGTTTAAATTGCCACAGCTCGCATGCCTCGTCGGCACAGCAGCTGTCGCGACACAGCGCCAGGCTGGAGGAGGTCGGATCGAATTTCAGGCCGTAGCCTCAACAGCTTATGGTTTGGGTTTGAGATAGCAGGTTTGCATGGAGAAACTCGTGCGAACAGTCAGACGCCCAAACATGCACCACGACAAGTAGATGCCGGTCCACTCATCAACAAACTGAACCATCAGCAGCAACTTTCAACTCTAAAAGCCTCAGCCGCTAGAATTCCGCATGCATCGCTCATTTTCCAATACCTAGGACCTAGGCTACATAAACCCAAGATCAAGTAGCATTGCTTTCCATCCAAGATCTCCACAACCGGGCAAAGCTTCGTTGCCACCGCACTCGCGCCCATAAGCAATGTGGCTACAATAGCTGCGATCAAGGCTACAGCAGTAATTGTGCTCTAACCTTCGCGAGGAATTTGTGCGCGGTTTTGAACTTCGGGCTGTAATGTTCGGGTTAGCAGTATTTGGTGTTCTTTGCCGCGGCTCGGGGTTTACAGCTGCGAGGGTTGGAATGCGTTTGTGTGGGTGAGTGCTTGGCTTTGCTCTGTCGTCTTGCGGGTTTTGGTTACAAGTTTGATGCTAAGGATGCGTGGCTGCGGTCCGAAGGATCTAAGCTGTTGTTTCTGCGTCTGTTCAAGGTTCGGGTGGTTTGAAGTTCCCGGAACAGCATGCTTTTCTCGAAGTACGAATACGAAACAGTAGGTACGGCTAGCCATTGACTAGTGACTAGTGCTACAAAAGGACTTGCAAGTTGTTGCTACGCTCCGTTTGCGTTTACGGGCTTGCAGCTCGTCCGAACACTTGAAACCCCAGCGCGAACAGCCTCAAGACCAAAGGCATTTCCATAGAAGCCCCTACGCGCAAAGCGGTCCCGGAAAGGATGCGGCATTCGGAGGCATGCTTCAAAGCGTTTGCCTCGTTACATTGAGGTGAAAGATCGTAGAAACCGGCAGCTGATTTTGCAACTACAGCCAGCCGGCGCTGATGGTGGAAAGCTCCAAGCAACCGGGTGGATGAACACCTGTAGCCGCTCTTGTGCAATTTATCGGGTTACGGAATACAAGTATGGGTGTAAGGTGGGCGACTTTCAGTGGAAAACAGAGCCAGTCACGAGAGTCCACGGCTCTTGGATCCAAAAGTGCTTTTGCAACTATCTTTGCATATGCGAATGAATACTTGCATGCGAACAACCGTCGATCGTACCCTCCGAGCACGAAAGAAGCCCGGCTAATCCCGAACGAGAGTGTATGGGAAACATCAGGCGCCACGCGCCATTTTTGTCTCCTGCTCCAGGTGTCATGGAATCCGAGGTTTCCAGCGAAATTGTTCGCAGTAGCCGCGGCACCTGGAGAAGGCTGAACGAGCAAGTGTGGGTCCTGTCGTTGGAGAAGTACTCGCCATGACTGTGGCATGGCATCGTACTACAGGCTCAGACTGTGATGCTAAGTTGGAAATCTTGGACACAAATATGGACTTGCGAAACTCGATTGTCTCGCAGCACTCGAAACTCCAAGCCCTTCTTGCAGCAGACAAGGAACCCTATAAAGCCCTAAAGGGCCCTAAAGCTTTTTCTGTGAAACTCCAAGACGGCCCGGATTAGCCCTGGCGACTCCGAGGCTGAGACCGATGCACTTCAAATCAACCTCACTGAGTTGCGCGGGAACGAAACGGGTGATGCTGGGTTTAGGGTTTAGGGTTTCGGCTCTCACACTCGGACAATCCAGGCGAGGCGAATGATGAGTCAACGTCAAAGTGAAACAACTGCACATGCAAGTTCAGCAACAAGACGAGCCCTTAAGATAGGGA